GGAGGTTGAATTTTCTTGATGGCATTAATACTCCTTTGAGGGACCTCAATTCCTCTCTCATGAACAAGAAAACATAGCCCCCAAGTGAATTCCTGATCGGCTTTCAACGTTTACAAAGGTGTAAAAGGTTCTAACCTTCCAGACAAGTTAGATATAAACCTTCGAACAAAATTAATCTTGCCGATCAACGATTGTAGTTGCGTCTTATCTTCCGAAGGTTGAATTTTCTTGATGGCATTAATACTCCTTTGAGGGACCTCAATTCCTCTCTCATGAACAAGAAAACACAGCCCCCCAAGTGAATTCCTGATCGGCTTTCAACATTTACAAAGGTGTAAAAGGTTCTAACCTTCCAGACAAGTTAGATATAAACCTTCGAACAAAATTAATCTTGCCGATCAACGATTGTAGTTGCGTCTTATATTCCGGAGGTTAAATTTTCTTGATGGCATTAATACTCCTTTGAGGGACCTCAATTCCTCTCTCATGAACAAGAAAACACAAAAATTGTCCAACCGATACACCAAAAGCACACTTTGTTGGATTCATCTTTAAACCATACTTTCTGGTTCTCTCAAAAACTTTCCTCAAATCGGCTATATGGTCCTCCACCTGCTTTGATTTAAAAACCACATCATCGATATAGACCTCTACCAACAAGCCAATCAGATCATGGATTATGTAATTCATGGCCCTCTGATATGTAGCTTCAGCACTCTTCAAACCAAAAGTCATCACAACCCACTCAAATAAGCCGATTGCACCAGGACATCTGAAAGCAGTCTTGTGAATGTCTTCTTCTGCCATAAAAATTTGATTGTAACCAGCATTGCCATCCATAAAACTTATAATCTTATGTCCTGAAGCAGCATCAACCAATTGATCGGCGATCGGCATTGGGTACTCATCCTTAGGTGTAGCCTTATTTAGATCTCGAAAATCAATGCACACCCTAAATTTGCCGTTCTTCTTGATAACCGGAACTATATTAGAAACCCACTCGGCATATCGGCACGGCCGAATAAAACCAGCATCATATAATCGAGTAATTTCAGCCTTGATAGCATCATACATTTGAGCCTTACATACTATATATTCTTATTTCTACATAATATTAGTAAACAATTATGAAATCAAATATAACATTTTGAAATTAACATATCATATTTAACAAACTAGATGATGGGACGACCACATGACATCAAAGAGTATACATAAAACCAACAAAAACATACCATTGGAAATTAAACATAATAATTATTTTTTACATGTCATGAAGTTTTCTCTCCTATCTAGATCTAGGCAAATAGATAAGAGCAATGTATATAATTTTATTCCATTATATTACATTATAAAATCACTAGAAGATGAGAGAACCCCATAGCATCAAGAAACCACATAAATCCAACACACATATCAAAGCAAAATACAAAAAAAAAAAAGAGAACACAATCATGGGAGCTAGCTTTTCCCCTCACTATTTTACATGCATAGATCCATCCTAAAAGGAGGTTTAAATTACCAAAAAACTATGTATATAGAGTGCAAAGGCATAGATCTAATCACTGTAGAAAAATCCCTCGAAAATTTGAAGTTCAAAACCTACCCCTATATTTTGGTGCCTTTAAGATAGTGAAAATCGTCAGATATGAATAGAAGCTCGGGGAGGAACAAGACTATATAGCCGGCCTGATTTTTGCATGCGACGAAAAATGGTCGCCTGCGAAGATTTTTGCAAACGGCACCAAATGGGCACCTACGAAGTTCCATCTTCGCAGGCGGACCACATAATTAGACCACCTAGAATAATCGCAGGCGGTCCCTTATGTGGTCCGCCTGCGAAGATGGAGCTTTACAGGCGGCTCGCTTGGTCCGCCTACAAAGATCTATCTTCGCAGGCGGAACAAAACCATGGCCCCGGTATCATTTATCCTAGGTGGTGCTCCGGTTTTTAGGTGCCTACCCATCTGCAAAAATAAATGGCCAACGTCGCTAAAGACCATTTTTCTAGTAGTATTGATACCATAAAATATAATTTCGTTTCCAAATATCCTAAAGGCGTATTTGTCTTTCTCAACCCTAACGACATACGCATATCCAGTACAATTGTTCGATTAAAATATACCTGTTGCGATCAGTGCATTTGATTCCATATTCCCTCCCACACGATTATTAAAGACATCTCCCCAGTACTATATATGGTGCTTGCAGTACTATATAGCATCCATAAAATATAAAATCCGCTCTAACCAACCACCATCCCCTCACACAACACGCTAGCTCTAATAATCTCATTTGCACCACAGAATAGGACATATAAATGTTATAGTTAATTAATCACACAGCAACATACCCTGTAACTAGCTAGCTATTAAACAGACATTCCTCTGACCATGTGCATCCATATATACTATAGTATTTTGCATGACTACTAAACTGATTAGCTTAGCTATAGCTCACTTGCAGACAACCCTTCAGTACACTTCAAGCTGTTGGACTCACTGAACAGACTTGTCCAGGAGCGCGCATCCAGCTCTCGATCAAAACAAGCACAGTTAAGTGCATCTCTGTACTAATGATACTCGCATCTGCAGCGGCCAGCACACAGAAGCTAGCTTGCACACTTAATTTGAGTACTCCTTTAATTTATTGAGTATACTCTTTACAGACCTATCCTGATCATTTGCCGGGTTTCTAGAGAAGTGTAAAAGTTAATTGACTGCAGCCATTCATGAAAGCCTGTAGGTTTCAAACCATGCATATGCATGCGCTGCCCCTTCACGATTTCTGAAAACTTCTGTAACACTGAGAAATCAGCGGGTTGCCAATGCCGTGGCCTCCTGGTGCAGGAGGCCACAGCTGGTGCACACAAGGATGTTCTTAAATTCATCTATGACCGTGTTTAGATCTAAGGGTGAAAAGTTTCAGTGTGTCACATCGGATATATGAACACATATTTAAAATATTAAACGTAGACTAATAACAAAACAAATTACAGATTCCACCTGTAAATTGCGAGATGAATTTATTAAGCCTAATTAATTCGTCATTAGCAAATGTTTACTGTAGCACCTCGTTGTCAAATTATGGAGCAATTAGGCTTAAATGATTTGTCTCGTAATTTACACGCAATGTGTCTAATTAGTTTTATCTTTTTGTGTATATTTAATATTTCATGCATGTGTCTAAACATTCGATATGACAGGATGAAAAGTTTTTGCGTAGGAACTAAACCGGGCCTCTAAATGTAGTCACAGTTGACATCTAGCTAGTATATTTCTGATCGCCCGTATGTTGCTTGTGCGTGCTGTACTGCACTTTCCTGGATGCAATCACTGTCTTGTTTGTTAAATTCTCTGCAGATCACAGGGAAACTTAGCCTGTTCTCATATGCAATGGAAAAGTTAAGGCTAGCTAGGGATGGGGCTTGTGTCTGTACTCAAGGCTGCGCAAAGAAGGGAACAAACTGAGCGCAGAACCCGATTGAAACTGTATATTCTATCAGATGATGAATACAAGAGCTATATATATATATATGAATGTCTTCTGGTATACATGTTTTTTGTTGGGAAGAGAAAATGAAAACAAAGAGTAGCATGGAGAAATGAGAAGGGAATATGTACTGTAGAGAATGGAATCCGTGCAAGTACTGCTAGCTGCAGGAATGCATCAGAGGAAATATATACTAGAGAGCATGTTCTGCATCATATGCATGTGCATGGTTTAACTGCTGGAATGTGTCAGTACTGAGAGCTTAATTTGTAGACAGGGGAGGGAAGATGACATCTTCATCCTCACTTGCCAAGCACTACAGTCACCTTGTGTCTGTACATGCAGATAGCTCTACCTTCCTCATAGTTGAAAGCTGATCAGCATGACATGTTAAAAACACAGAGATAAACACGAGGAAAACAACAATAAGGATGAACCAGGCTATGCATGTTATACTAGCTAACCAGACCAATTCAGTCAGGTAATAAGATACACAGGCTTGATTTACTCCTTACGGATGGAAATATTTGTATTTACTTGCTGGTTGAATATTAAATATTTATTTTTTTAATGATCATTGAGATCCTCTTCAGAAACTACAAAGTACCATATTTTCTCAAACAAATTTAAGATACTTTCTAATATTTTGGATACCCAAGGGTACTAAGGACATATTATCACTAAAAAAAATGTGGTACCGTGAATGTTAAGAAACTTCTTAGATATTATACTAGTATAAATCTCACCTGGCAGGGGAAAAAATACACATGTTTTCCATGATATTGAAAATAAACTACCAATACGAAAGTTCAGATATATACGCGACATAGTTAATACTGTAATTGAATATTGATCTTTTGATAGATTTCCGTTGTTATAGAAGCTGAGGTCATATGAGTTTTAATGAAGTGATTATTAATTGTTCGATATTCATATACTTGCACGTTGAATAGAGGATACGGTGAAAGAGCACTAATTAATTTAAACTGACACCAGCAATAAAAATAAATAGATAATGGCTGAGAATACTTTGCCAACATGCACAATAAGAACCAGATAATATTGGCCACGATAAAACACATGCAATCTAAAGTTTATGCTATCAGCTGATATCAGTTGAAAGATATTTCTGTCAATGATAATAAATATTTATTTAACCGGTCTACTACATAAAATTTTATAACTACAATTCAACACATTGTGACAGAGTATGACAAATTTTTGATTTTTTTTCATGTGGTATCTTTGAAGAAATATACACTATTTCCACAGATCATCTATGGGGGGTAAGAGAATTAGCATAGGATATAAAACAAGAATACAACTATATTTGTTTAGCGTAATCTAATTTGACATTGTTTGAGATCAGCCGCAAGATGTTTTGAATAACTGGCAATTCAGTTCATTCAATTAGTGTAATATATAAGGTTAACCAGAGAAAGTTTGGAACTACATTATGTGATAATTTTCGTGCATCAATGCAAGGTTTTAAATTGGAATTCAGTACCTTCTTACACAGCATATAACAAGTCACTTTAGTTCTTTTTTTCATTACAGTTCCCTTTCAAGAGAAAAATGATTTCTTCAAATCATTCCAAGGAAATAAGCAGAATTAACATATAGGATAAAACAAGGATAAATTCAGATAGTGCAAACCAACATTTCAATGAAACACGAGTGGTGAATAAATACAAATTAAACATTTGTAATCAAGTTGAGATACAACAGTGGATATGAAATCTACTGTTCTTTTGGGGCTTCCCCGAGTCTAAGCTCAAGATCTAGTTCTTCAACCGAGGAGCTACGATAAAGTTTTAGTATCTTTTCATGATGTTGGTCATCACCACCATCTTGCTGTTGATGATTACTGGTTGAAGAAGTTAGAATCAGGGGGTTTACCTCCAAATCGATTCTTCTTTTCTTGTGACTTGCTTCAACAGTCTTTTCATCATCCGCGCGGTCGTTATCGTACATAAAGTCCCTTCTTGATCGGCACCCCAAAACAGTAGTTATCTTCAATTCATTTTTCCCAACACGCAGGTCAAGATTAGAACTCACCGTGTCATGATCCTGTGCCAATCGAACAGCACCAAGAAACAACGTCTCCCTCTTACCATGTTCTCTACCAGCCGACGGCGACTTCGATGAGACAAGAGGGGCGTTCAGGACTTGTTTGCCCAAGGCAGTTCTAGCAGCTGCAACTTGAAGCAAGGATCTAGCAGGGTACGCGACAACATCACATATGGAATTAGGGTTAGTGTCAGCAGCGAGAATACTGCCACTTCTAGGGTTTGGGCTGTAGGCGTGCTGCAGGGTGCCAATTTGGGGAGGGCATGGTTGTATCATGTAGTTTTGGTTTGGCGGCATGCCGTGGCTTTCGCCGCCGGTGCCGTCCTCCACAACCCCAGAGAGCTTGAGCCTTGCCCGGTCCCTCCGGTGGACGTTCATGTGCCCGCCCAGCGCCTGCGCCGACCGGAACTCACGGCCGCAGAAGCTGCAGGAGTAGGACCTCGGCGGCCAGATGCAGCCCCCGAGATGCCCTGCGGAGTCTTCCGCGAAGGCACGTTCCTCCCATGACTCGTAGTAGGAGGTGGAGCTGCCGCCGGCGCCGATGGTGATGTGAGGGGTGGGGAAGAGAGGCGCCTTCTGATCTCCCAGCTTCCTCCTGGCCAAGATCCAGTACCTTGCTGGATCCATCAAATGACACTAACTAACTTTTACAGCTCTAGCTCTTGCAGGTGCCAAAGATGATGGAAAGAGGGCTAGATAGAGAAGAGGTGAAACATCTGAACCCAGGATTGAGGAAGACAGCAGTACATGTGAGGATCTAGCTATGAGAGGGCCGGAGCAGAAGGGGGGAAGAAGAGCTGCAAGCTAGCCGGGGAAGTTAGAAAGAGGCTTGATTTGCTTGTCTTTATGGATGCAACTGACTCATATTCTGATCGTCTGTAGTACTATTAATTAGTTCCTCCAACCAATAATAGTACCCAATAGGGCCCCATCATTTTCTTCTCAGTTTCTTACACAAGTGTGACTTTCCTGGATGCAATCACTGTCTTGTTGTTAAATGCTCTGCAGATCACAGGGAAACTTTGCCTGGTCTCGTTAAGCAATGGAAAAGTTAAGGCTAGGGATGGGGCTTGTGTCTGTCCTCAAGGCTGCGCAAGGAAGGGAACAAACTGAGCGCAGAGCCCGACTGAAACTGTATATTCTATCAGATGATAAATACAAGAACCAAAAAAGAAATATAGGAATGTCTTCTGGTATACATATTTTTTTATTTGGGAAGAGAAAATGAAAACAAAGAGTAGCATGGAGAAATGAGAAGGGAATATGTACTGTAGAGAATGGAATCCATGCAAGTACTGCTAGCTGCAGGAATGCATCAGAGGAAATATATACTAGAGAGCGTGTTCTGGCATCATATGCATGTGCATGGTTTAATTTTAATTCCACTGCTGGATTGTGTCAGTACTAAGAGCTTAATTTGTAGATAGGTGAGGGAAGATGACATCTTCATCCTCACTTCCCAAGCACTACAGTCACCTTGTGTCTGTACATGCAGATAGCTCTACCTTCCTCATAGTTGAAACCTGATCAGCACGACATGTTACAAACACAGAGACAAACACGTGGAAAACCACAATAAGGACGAACCAGGCTATGCATGTTATACTAGCTAACCTGACCAATTCAGTCAGGTAATAAGATTCACAGGGTTCATTTACTCTTTGCCACTTACCATACCATATGTGAGTACGGGTGGAAATATTTGTATTTATTTGCACGTTGATTAAATATTTATTTATTTAATGATCATTTAGATCTTCTTCAGAAAGTACAATGTACTATATTTTCTCATACAAATTTAAGATACTTTTCTAATATTTTGGATACCCGAGGGTATACTAAGGACATATTATCATAAAAATATATGTGGTACCGTGGATGGTAAGAAACTTCTTATATATTATGCTGGTAAATCTCAGCTGGCAGGGGAAAAATAGACATGTTTTCCATGATATTGAAAATTAACTACCAATATGAAAAGTTCAGATATATATGACATAGTTACTGTAAATTAATTATATTGATCTTTGGATAGATATCCGTTGTTATAGAAGCTGAGCACATATGAGTTTTAATGAACTGATTATCCGTTGTTATTAATTGTTTGATATTCATATACTTGCACGCGTTGAATAGACGACACGGTGAAAGAGCACTAATATAATTAATTTAAACTGACACCAGCAATAAAAAGAAATGGATAATGGCTGAGAATACTTTGCCAACATGCATAATAAGAACCAGATAATATAATATTGACCACGATATAACACATGTGCCATCTAAAGTTTATGCTATCAACCCTACTGGAGAACTAATCTTTGTTGGCTTAGCCGAAAACCACAATTAATAGCCCCGGTTCCAAAAAGAACCCAGACTAAAAATCATCTTTAGCCCCGGTTGAAAAGCCCATAGCTATTTTATGATCTTTAGTCTGGTTGGTACTAAAGATCGTTTTTAGTCCTGGTTAAAAAAGTGTATGCCCCCTATTCTTTTTATTCCCGGTTGGAAATACCAACTGGGACTAAAAATCGGTGCATAGTATATAATCCCTAGCACTTATCCTCTAGCAATCACCTCTTCTTTATCCTCCTCTTTTTTCTTATCCTCTCCCTTTCCTCTCTCTATTCTTATCCTCTCAAGCAAGCAGGCCAGAGGGCGAGCGAGTAGGACGGGCGGGCGGCGGCGGGCGGCCGGCGCCTCTGCCAGAGAGGAGGCGGCAGCGACATCGCAAAATTGTTTTTGTTCTTTTTTTTGAGAATTTGTGATTCATTGCATGGATCTGAGATGTATAATCTGTGATGTATTTGATTTGTGTGTGATGTGAATATGTGAAGTATTTGTGATGTTTTTTTTAGAATTTGTGATGTATTTGGATATGATCAATTTAGAGATTTAGAGATGATACTTTTTTCTGCGATGATCGATTTGGGGATGATTTGGGGAAGTAGTGAAATGAATATTCAAAGTTAAAACAATGAAAAAAAGAAAAAAAATCTACCAACTGGAGCTGGCCTGGCTCCATCTTTAGTTCCGGTTGGTAACACCAATCGGGCCTAAAAATGGATATTTTTAATCATGGTTATTTTAACTAGGACTAAAGATGGGTATCTGTAGTCCTGTATTCGTAGTCCCGGTTGCATAACCGGGACTATAGGGGGTTATAAACCGGGGTTAAAAACCCTTTGTCCAGCAGTACAGCTGGGAGATATTTCTGTAACTTTAGTTTTATATCATTTGCACGATAAAATTAACCGCTCTACTAGATAAAATTTTATAACTACAATTCAACACATTGTGACAGAGTATGACAAATTATTGATTTTTTTCATGTAGTTATCTTTGACAAAATATACACTATTCCCACATATCATCTACTGGGGAAAGAGAATTAACAAAGGATATAAACACGAATACAACTATATTTGTTTAGCGTAATCTAATTTGACATTGTTCGAGATTAGCCACAAGATGTTTTGATTAACTGGCAAATTCAGTTCATTCAATTAGTGTAATATATAAGGTTAACCAGAGAAAGTTTTGCAACTAAATTATGTGATAATTTTTGTGCATCAATCGCATGTAAGGTTTTAAATTGGAATTTATCACTTTAGTTCTTTTTTTCATTACAGTTCCCTTTCAAGAGAAAATGATTTCTTCAAATCATTCCAAGGAAATAGCTAGCAGAATTAACATATAGGATAAAACAAGGATATATTCAGATAGTGCAAACCAACATTTCTATGAAACACGATGTCATGTGGGAATTGCAGTATGCGCGAAGCTGCAACAGGAAGTCAGTGACAAAAACATGGTAAGGAATAGTAATGTCAGTCTTTGAGTTTTTCTGTAACACCTGCCTCATACATCTGCACGGGTGTTGAGGATGATGAACTTTCTTGTTCGTTCCTTATCATGTTGCGCGTCTCCCTATATGTTCCACCTGCACGAGATTCTTGTATGGTCTGCAGGAGAATGGTTAGTTCATGGCAGTTGTACAAATGATACCCCGTACTTGGCAACGGGATTTTATTTGTACAACCGGGAAAAAAGTATATCAAAGATCCATCTGCTCCATGCTTCAAAATATGCCCTTGCACTAGATAAGCCTCATCAATACGCGGACGAGCGGCTGAGATAAAAGCAATTTGGTCGCTAACGACCCCAAGCCCTTTTGCTATCCGAGTAATCAGAGAAGTGCACTCAACAGGAGCAGAGAACTTTATACTTTCTAACCATTGCCTTATCATACATTTCACAGGAGAAATTTTGATTTTTCTAACCATGGCAAACATGATAATTAATTCATCTCCCCTAATGGGTCTCATATCACTTCTAGGAAACAAAGTCATAGTAATCCATTTGTGCATGAGCCTAAGTGTAGGATTATGAATATCATTCGTTCTAGGTTTCTTGCAAATTGGAGCACCAGAAATGTCTTCCCAAAACCTATTTTTCTCGAACCCTGAAATTCCTTTCTGGAGATCGACTTTACAGGAATCGTGAAAACCAAGAAGTGTACTTAAGCCTTTCCATGTAAGTGTGTACTCCTTATGGAAAAAACGAAAGGAAATTTCATCTTCTATTTCTTTCATAGTGCACAGAAATTGCAAAGTAAGCAAACGAGAACCAAGCTCATCTACCACAATAAATCTCTGCCAACCAACCGCTTTCCAAATAGAACGAAATTCAACTTCAATACCTATCTTTTTCAGCAGCTCCGGTGAGTATTCTCGCGTGTGAGCATACTCCCGGTCGCTCAGCATGTAGTAGGCTTGTCTCTTCCGATCACTGACAAGGTCGAGGTCGGTGTCGTTCAGGAGTCGTCGCGGAGCTTCGGCGTCTTCCATCAAAACATCTGCTGATGAATGAGTACTAGACTCGTCATGACGACTTGATGAAGAGCCGGACCCCTTGAACAGACGAGACAGTCGCCTCCTCATTCTGCACAATGGAGCAAGAACGGAGTAACTCGGCGGGGGTTAGAGATGACAAGAATTTCACACGCCGGTTAGTTTCACCAAAGCAACTTGTATACATGCAACTAAATATTTTAATTTGAGGGAAACAATCAAAACTTGAATGAACTTGAGAGCAAACTTTGGAGAGGGAATGAAAATGTGTTGAAATGGGGTGGAGTTCCCTCTCCCGGCTGGCTGGCTTTTATAGGGTACCCATAACAGTCAGAAATGACATGTGGGACCCACTAGCCGTTACCTTGCCAAAAGTAGCAGGTAACCGTTGCCTGGCCGGTTGTTCGGCCGAACCCCTGGTGGGCCCAACCGGCCCCACTTTCGGCCGTTGGATTCCAATGATCAGTGTGGTCTTGGCATAGCGAATATTCGTTGAAAATTTTATTTCGGTTTGCTCTAAAAGATTCATTTGAAGAATTTCCTCAAAATTCAAAAATCCTAAATGCAATTTTGAAGTTCAAATATATGATGATGCAAAAATTCAAATTGTTGAAAGCAAATATGCGGATACATACCAATTTACCTGTTGGCGAAGGTCGCGTCATTTAAAGTCCGACTTGCGAGACCGTACCTCCTTCTGAATCAGTTAGCGGATTTTCCACCCGTCTCCGGAGGTGATGGAGTGGGCGTCTTTGGCTTCTTCCTCCACACCTTCTTTGGTTTTGGTGCGGATGGCGGCTTCTTCTGAGCCGGCTGCTCTAGTTTCTTGGCCAGTATGGGTGGTTCTACCGGCATCTTCCAATAACGGTTCTTAGGCATAGTTGTTTCCTTCTCCATGAAATTCTGCATAAATTTCACCAGGCTGTCCATTTTGGGTGGCTCCACTTCGACCTCTTGGATATTCTGTGGGTTCGGCCCATACTTTATTCTGACCATGGAGTATTGTTCCGTCCTCG